GGGGGGGGGGCCGGGGAAGAAGCGGGGGGGGGAAGCGGTTCCGCGGGGCCCGGCAAAGGAGGCGAGGCCGAAGGGCTGTGGGCGGTCGGGGAGAGGCAGCAGAAAGCGGGGAGAGGAGCGGGGCGTTGCGGTGAGTCAGCGGGCGGAAAGGCAGCGGCGAGCGGCCGGGGTCCGGCCGGCCCTTCCCGGCTGCCGCCGTTTCACTGAAGCGGAGGTTTTCATGAGAGAGAGCCAGCCACTTCCTCAGGTTGGGCGTGAGCTCGTTCATTAGGCAATCAGAGGATTTTTATGAGATGGGAAAAAGCAATTTGAAATTGTAAACTTTCCCCAGTTGAGAGCTATTTTGGGGCGTTTGCTGGTGCTCCCTTTAAATAGGGCAAGTTTTCCACCAGGCTCAGTCAGTGCCTGCGAGCCGTGTCCCTCCCGGCTGGGCTCTCCGGGCACCCGCTCCTCCACTCGGACAAGTTCTGCTGTTTAATTTAGCCCCGGTCAGAGGCCTTTGGTGAGTGCAAGGGTTTAGCAGGGCTCAGGGTTTAGATGTGGATGGAGATACAACGTCCACAATTACATTAGGCAGCCTGAAGGAGGATGCCTGTGGGTTATCAACCCTCCTGGCACCAGCAATTTGAATGGGCTTCCTCTCAGCGCGCTTTATTCCTCCACCGCCCGTCACAAGGAGCCTGCGAGGGCCCTGGAACCAGCCGCCTGGAGGAGACGGACACTTGGATTTACCTAAGTACATTATTAGTTCAGCAATTATTTCAAAACAGTTGTAATTAACATGAAATGAAGGCAAAGAACGTGCTCTTTCCTTAATAACAGAGTTGGAATAATGCGTGGAGCGCTGGCAGATCGGCAAGCACTGAGTGGATGCAAAAATACTTGAGAGCTGTGAGGGAGAGCCTGGGAGCTCTGCAAGCCTTGCGAGGACCCCCCCAGCTCCCCACACTGCTATTTCTGAACATTGCACTGTGTTCTTTTCACAGGTTCTTCAGGACAGAGATACCCTGGTTCTGAGCTGAGCCCCTGAGCAGCAAAGAGCTTTCGCTTGTGCGGTACATGAAGTGCGACCAGGGCGTCACAGAGTACCACAGGGAAACAAACCTCCGCTCCGAGTGCTGTAATATGCTTTTTCCATCCATGCTGTGTCAGTCCATCGTCTGGGCCACCAGCTGATGAGATGGCACAGAGCGCCAAGCTCCAGCCAAGCTTTGAGGACATTTTTAGTGTTCTATCCCAGATCCCACAAGATAAACTCCTTAGCCTCAAATATAAACTGAAGCACTTGATATCTGGGCCCAGCAGCAAATTACTGCAAGCCATGGTCCTGCTTACTCTGGGGCAAGAAGTGGATGCAAGAATTTGTTTGGATGCCTTGGGAGATAACCGGGCAGCCCAGTATGTCCATCAGACCAAACTGGGTGCCACAGGAGTGCAGGAAGATGGGGAGGATTTGCAGCCTCCCCAGCTGGATGCAGGTGCCATGGCGCTTCTGGCACAGATCTACTCAGTGTTGGCGGAGGAAAAACTGTGCAGTCATGAAGCCGTGGACAGAGCCCGCCAGGCTGCCACCAAAGCCTGCAAAGCCAGCAAGGAAACTCAGGGGGACACACTCAACAGCATCCCACCTGAGGACCAGGAAAAACATGGCTCTGCTGTCAGCATGGGCCCAGGTGACAAATTTCAGACGCTGAGCTCTGACGTGGGATTTCTCCAGCCGGCCAGCCCAAACTACGTGGTGAGAAGTTCTCCAGTGCAGATTGGAGGCAACTCAGACCTTTCAGGCCCACGGACCTTGCACTCCTTGGGGAGTCCCTCTTTCCCCAGTTGCTTGGAGATCAGTGCGTCTCCAACAGTTGTTTTTCACACCCAACCTTCTTCCCACGAGCATGTCCCCCAGCCCAGCCGGCTGTGCAAAGGGAGCACCAGCAGTGCTGGGCAGCCTGATGGGGACAGACAAAGCTGCGGCCTGCACGAAACAAGCTGGACCAGCAGACCCAACTCTCATCCCGGGCAGGACACGGGTGCCCAAGTCCCCCGATCGGAGAAGGTTCTGCAGGTCAGTTCATGTCGTCCGACTCCCCCTATTCCTGAAATACAGCTGCCCACAATGGGTGCTGTGAACCAACCTGTCGAAAGTAGTGATGTTTCCAGCACAGTGGCAGCAGAAACTCATACACCAAAAGAAAACACAGACAAAAAGCAAGATGAAAAGCAATTACCTACGGGTCTTCCTGACTCAAGAGCTACAGTGGATACTGGTCCTGCCCACATGTCCATGGAGGACTCCCATGTTCCAGCAGCCATTCCTTCTAACTCTGCACCTACTTCCATTTCAACCTATTCCCTTCCTCCTCCTACCTATTCCTTCTCCTCCACCCTTCCCCGTCCTCTTCAGGGAGCTCCTTCCAACTTATCATATCCCACTCCCCTTCACTCATCCCCCTCTCCAGCCTGGCCTCCTCCTCTTCAAACTGTAGAACCACTGCCCACATCAGAGCCAGGCGGGGGAAAGTTCTTCACTTTTGTTGTCCTGCATGCTAGCCAAGATGAGATTGTTGCCCATCGGGTCAAGGACCTGCTGGAGAACATGGGGGTTCCCAATGGTGCTACACTCTGTGAGGACTTCTTCATTGCTGGACGCAGCCATCTGACTTGCTTCCAGGATGCTATGGAAAACTCTGCTTTCATCATCCTTCTGCTGACCAAGAACTTCCCATGCGACCTGTGTATGTTTCAGACAAACACTGCTCTGATGGAGTCCATCCTGAAACCATCCAAGCGTGACTCAGTCATCCCTTTTGTGCCCAAGGAGAACCCCCTGGAGCGGAGTCAGATTCCCAGCACGCTCGGCGGGCTGATGCCATTAGATGAGAACTCTCCTGGGTTCTCCAGGACAGTGCAGAACACCTTTACCACCAGCAGGATCAATGAAAGGAAAGCCATGTGGGACCTGATGCAGAGAAAGAAACTACAGCTGTATCAGGAACGGTATCAAACACTGCAGAACTTGGCTGCTCTCAACCTTGGCTCCCTTCCCCAGGTGCCTCTGTCAGCAACACGGCTGGAGCTGCTGGGGCAATCACCCCAACAGTGGTGCCCCCCTGCTTCGACTGTCCCTCCTGCCACATACCCACCTCCACCCGCTGGTCACCCCATGCCTGCTCAGATGGGTCCCCCTCCTTTCCAACCACTTAATCTACCATCAGGCCACTACAACATGATGCCAGGTCCAGGAGGCATCCCGTCTCTCATCATTCAACATGCTCGAATGGTTCAGATTGGGGATCACAACGTGATGCAGGTAGAAACTGTCACACCAGGTCCACAGGACAGGGAGGAAGAAACCAGGTAGAATGCTTGATCAGAGACACAGCAGGTCAGCCAAGGCCAGAGACACTCACACTTAGTTTCAAACCCTAGATGATAGTGATTCTTCTGGGACTGGGACTATTCTTATTTCACTGTGGGTAAAAGGTGCCACTTTCCTGGAGCACAGGAGAAAATTACCTTCTTTTTTGTTGGACAAAAGAGCTTGCAATCTCCTGAGACTGTTTTCCTTGTGCTTATTTTCAAGTAACTAAAAAAACTCTTTTCCTGATTTCCTGAGGCTACTGGAAGGTTTTATAAATAAGTTTTAATTAATTTATTTGTGTTTCTCTGGTTCTTTCCTGCAGAATTAGCAAAGGGGCAGTCAGGGATATCTGGAAAACTGTTCTGCATGTCTGCACCTCTGGGGTGGAGGAGGCTAGGAGATGGCACACCAGGGTTCTGTTTCATAATCTGCTGCTGACCAAATAATTTGAGGGAAAATCTTCAGGGGACGCTTTGGGGAGTCGCTGTGGCCCCCTGTGAAGGTGCAAAGCACCACGAGGTCCCACTGTTTTCTTCCAGCAGTCCTCTTTGCTTGGGGTTGCAGAGTATCCTCTGGCCCGTCACACTGATGCCTACTTTGTGTGCATGGTGCACTCCCCTTGCTGCAGGGCACCAGCAGCACCATTTCCCCTAAACCTCTCACATCAGACCCAGGAAGGTTCAGGAAACCAGCTTCACAGACTTCTGAGAGGCTGCAGGCCTCTGCTGAGGCATCAAGACATCACTTTGCCCAGTTCCCCTCTGAAACTACAGAGAAAGAAGTTTTTTGTTTGAGAAAAGACAAAATTCCCATGTGCCCCTGGAGACATGGCTTGAAGTATTTTTGTATTTAAGAAAACTCTGTTAATGAACTGAGATTACACACCAGATACAAGGCTAAATAAGAATCTTTACAGTAAAGCTGTGCTTGGGCGGGGGGGGCGGAATACTTAAGGAAGGTGAAATGACAGGGGGGAAATGTGGAGCAAGGCCAAGGAGGCTCCGAGAAGCTGAGTGTCCACTCCTCTGCTCTTACCTGCTTGTAAAAGGTCAGAGGTGGGACCAGAGCCTGTTGCACAGAGAAGTGTTCCCTACTGAGATAACTCCACCTATTTATGTTATTGCCTTTGAGGAAGAAGTTTGATGATAGAAAAAAAAACACAAAAGCAATGAGCAGAGCATTACAGAAGGGGTGCAAAAAGGCCAGGAATGGGGGAGGTATTCTGCAGGACCTGGGCGAGGGATGTATCTGGAAGGTATCTACTGAGTATTTAACACAAGGAGGGCATCGGAAGCAAAGCCGCAGACCCTGACAGCTTCTGCTGCGTACGTTTGCCTGCTCTGTCAGTAGAGGTCAGCCCAAAGCCACCAGATGACTGGAAATGGGACTGCTCCAGCTGCAGACCAGAGCCCAGCCAACAGCCTTGAGCTCTAGAGTCAACTTACCCTTCACCTGGGCCTCCGCAAGCTGCAGGGCAGCGCTCACCCTATGCCTCACCCTAGGAAAGAGCCCCAGAGCTGCTGAGTCTTTGTAAAGGTAGACCTCAAGAGCCAGTGTGATTGATACGGGGTGGGGGGACCCCGTTTCGGGTATTTCTGCAGATATGTGTGAGCTCATGTCGCTCTGAATAGCTGTCCCAGTACGTTTCAAATGGAGAGGAGCCAACACTGTGTGGTAGCCAAAGCGCAGGACTCCTACAGGCCATCCTGGACCTGCGACTACCCAAGCTGGGCACTCACAGGACCCAATTCTGGATTACAGTCTTTGTCCAAGAACCATCCAAGCCTTATAACCAATACCTGCATAAGAAAGACATTAGTCAGTCCTTGGAGAAAGGACTGTTCAGCTGACATGAATCCCCTCTCAGGGAACACTGGTCACTGGGCTAAACACTGTCCAATTCTTATTCTTCCACTCTGGCTCAATCTACTTCAAGCTCGTTCTGCACAAAGCACACCCTCCCAAACAAGTACCAGCCTACTAAATAAAGCTCACTGCTGAGACATGAATCCCCAGCATGGAGGAGAGAACAGAACGGGAGTTTCTCCTTAGCCCTGCCTCCTCAGAGGATAGCAGGTAACAGTATAAAGGAGGACAGTCCCCTCCACCTGCCCTGTGTTGAAAGCTGCAACGGCTGCCTTTTTATTTTCAAGCAGCTTACACCCCTCAGGAGGTGCTGAGGATGTCTCCAGGATGATGCTGGAGAGCCTGGGCACTGACCAGACTTCAGTGCAAGCTCTGGAGCGCCTGGGCACCACCAGATGTAGGAGCTGAGAGCTGATGTGTCCCAACTCTTAAACTGCAACAGAGCGAGTGGCTGTCACAGTTTTGTATTTAAATCCCACAGAATTTCCTCTTAAGAGGCCACAGATCCTTTCTCACGGATCTGTCCATAAAAGGTGTCTCTGCCTCTCTCCGCCCCACCTCAAGGATGCTTAGCTCCTCCTGGGCTGAGAACTAGCACAAGACACCAGGCTTGGACAAATCAAAGCCCACTCTGTCCTGAGCAGAACAAGAACCACATAAAAGCATTCCTATTTAAAAGCTGCCATCAGTTGTTGGCTTCCAGCTTTGAAACAGTTTGGCTTTTAACTTCGAAGGACCCGGTGACAATGGATTAACTCATTTACTCTTTATAGAGTCTGCTGGAATCCTCCAAGTGCTTGGATTCCTTCTATTTCCCTATTTGCTCTCCTTTACGTCACCTTTGTTCGAATAGGTGTTGTGTTACTGCAATTCCTGTTACATTGCAGTTGTTGCTGTGCAGCCACCAGGACAGCCCCTCCCCTTGGGAGAAAACATATACATCACACCTTCCCCAGCTCTTCTCCTTTCTATAAATAAACATCATGCAAAACTAGTCAACTGGAAGCTGCTCTAGCTTGTAAACAACCTTAACACAGTCACATCAAGTTTGCTTGGACCGGAGAAAGGGAGAGGGAAAGACATGGCAGCAGACTGTAAAACATTGCAGGGTTGGGTTTTTTTTTAAGTTTACTGTGTGTGCAGGGCTGGGAGGCTCAAAGGTTATTGGAAGCAACTTCTACTTAAGAGCCACAGCCCTGTTCTAACCACAGGTTCACTCTTCGCACATCTGCAGGGCCCTCTTTGCTGTCGCTTACCCTGGAAAGGGAACTTTGCCACCAGTGCCTTGTTTTCACCAAGAGAACGCACCCGTGCCTGTGACCCCCTCGTTCTTCCCCAGTTTCTCTGTGAACCTGGAACACAGTATCCCCATCTTTATGCTCTAGGCCACTTTCTTTGTAAACACTGATCTGATGGCATTAGGAGGCTCCAAAGATGTCCATAGAAGGGCCGAGCAACTGGCTCCAAGAAAAGCCCAGTGAATTTCTCACCACTTTTGCATTTCTAAAGAAACTTGTATGGGAGGCTTTATTGTCAAGAGGGCCAATTACCAGTATTAGGGAAAGAAAAGCACATCTTACATTTTAAGAAAGGGATAAAAGGCAGATATTTTGTTCATGGCAGTGTACAGAAGGACTCCTGGAGAACAGTGTGCTACAGGAGGGTCTGTAGCCATCCCAGTGAAAAACAAACCTCCACTCTCTGTCCAAGATAATTACTCAGATAACAAAATCATCACTGAATCGTTTCACTCCTCCCCACAACTCCTTGTTCTGCCCCACATACTGGAGCTGGGCCAGACCACACCTACAATAAACAAGGACTGTTCATTGCAATTACCCCTGAATTCAAGCAGTGATTTCTCCCACCCAGTAATTACTATCGACATTTAATTGGTGGGTCCTTACTATGTAATTACAGATTATTTACGTGTTAAAAAAAAAATTAAAGCCCTTTTCTATCACACAGAATATTCTCTTCCTTGAGGCTTTTCTACATGACTGGATCCCCCAGTTATCTGATCACAAGACCATGGCTCCAGAGTTGCTTCCCCATCCCAGCTGTGGAAGAACTCCCTTCTCATCCTCTCCTCCCAGCAGCTCTGCGTACAGGATGGGATTGCAGTCAGAGAGCACCACAGTCAGGAGCAATCAGCCGCTGCCTCAGTCCTGAGGCTATCGGGTTCCTCGTACCTGCGGTGGCAGCTGCTCTTCTACGTACCTGAAGATCACCTATTGCACAGCAGTAGTATTTCAATGGGAGAAGTCCCACAGAACTGCAGACACTGCTTAAATGTCGTGTCTAGCATGAAGGCAGCAACAGTGATCAAACCATCAAGAATTATTTTTGAGGATGGAGCAATCAATGAAGGGACAAACATTCAAACATTTTATCTGTCTGCTCCTACCCTCCCTGGGGAAGGCCAAGCATTTTTGGAAATCCAAATTCTTGTGTGGAACTAACTCCAGTACCTCTAATTCTTCAGTCTGCTTTTGACCTCCCACTGACAGGTCTGGGGTTGAAAAACATAAATTGATGATTGACATGCTGTGTCCCTCTTTCTGCTTGCTGTGCCCACAGTCCCAGCTGTACATAAGGCAAGTAATACCCGCATCAGCAGAGTAGCATCCTTTCACACTGTTTCATTTACACCAAAAGATAAGGCAAAGTATATAAAGAAAGGTGTCATTTCAGCATCAGCGTTACCCTTTTTCAGGGGAAATGTTTGCAACTACAGTACAGATTCGCTTTTCCCAGGAGTAAATTCAGATGAAATGAAACAATCGCATCTGTTGATTGCCAATGCCCCGTATTTCCATACCCACCAGTGTACCATCCCTAGGAAATAAGCTGAAAATAGAGGCTTATCAGCAAGAAGTCCAAGGCACTTGCATTCTAGCAGCCATTTTTTGTTTTATTATTTAAAGTTAAGAGCGCTCATCAGCTCACAAATTAACAAATTCCATTCCTGCAGTTTAGTTCAGGTTTCAGCCAAAAGGAAAAAAAAATAGAACATAGCTAAACTAACTCTGCACTTTACATCTCAAGAAAAGTTAAACCTTCTTGCTTTATAAATAAATGTTATAGTTAACACTGCAAAAATGTAATGGCAGATCTACAATACCTTTAAGGGGCAGAGAGCATTGGATTATTGAGGCATATGGATATGCTGGCTTATAAATACAAGTAGAGAAGCTTCAGTAGCATATAGTGCATGGTTGTTTGTCAGGGTTCTGCTCTCCCAGTCCTGACCTTTCCCAAAGCTCAGAGGCAGCTGCTTCACCCCCAACTCTGGCTGCTGTGTGCTTTCCACTCTGCCCGGGGCCAAGAAATAAGCCACAGGCTGCCAAAGCCCAGTCACTCCCCCTGCAAGAAGATAAACTACTGGAACAGCATCATGTTTACCAACACTGACTGTTTACCACCAAGGAGGGTTCTGCTAATGGAGGCAAATACCTACTCTGAGACTAGGGATTTAAAGAGAAAAACAAGTTGTGTGCAGATCCTAATTAAAGAAAGGAGCTTGCCCAAATAGTAGCCAAATGAGATTTCAAATTCAATCTTGGAAGTAGCACCATCCTCAGTAAAGTTGCAAAAAGAATCAAAAGCCAAAACCAGATGCTAACAACCCACTCCGTGTAGGTTTTCAGAATGGGATAATTAACAGAGCCCAATCAGTTGAAACTAACAAACCTCAGAAGAACAAGAAGGCACCTTTCACTTCTTTCTTGCTTCTTCCTTCAAACCACCCTCAGGCAAACATGCCACCAACACTCACTTGCTTTAATAACCCCCTCAGCACCACCCACGCCACAAGTACCTCCCATCCTAGAGGGCTTGCAAGAGCACATCCCCAAAGCTGGTTCAAAGTGCGCTGCTTTGGCTCTGAAACCTGGCCATATTCACCCGGTACAGCTCAATCCCTGCTGACCTCTAGAACTAAAGGACCTCTACGCGGGGAAGGGAGTGAATATGTGCAGAATGGGCAAGCTAAGGACCTGAACGCCACATTAGTGTTTCGTTTTTAAGGTAGCAGTTTTTCCTCCCCATTCATAAAAAGCAACATCTGTTGATGAAACTGTATAACCAGAACTGACCTTACTACATCTTACAGGATTGAAGAAGTCTTGCAGCATAGATAGGGCCTGGCTCTAAAAGAGAAAAAATAACCCAGCTTTATGCACAATCATTGAAATCTCAGGCCTTTAACACTACTTGCTACTTGGCCAACCAAGGGAGAAAAAAAAAACATCCTCAGCATACCCAGTCCTACTGCCATGCAAGGCAACTACCTCAGCAGAGCACAAGCCAGTCGGCTGTTAGACTCGTACTGTACCAAATCTGAGAAGGGGGTGGGGAAAGAATTAGTTGGAAGATATTTTATTCCTCACTTGCATTCCTATCTGTTCAGTATTTGGGATGGGAAGGGCTAGAGCACATGTGTGATGTTTAGCTGCTCCAAAGCTTAACGCTGAGTTAATCCAGCACTAATGGGAGAGGCAGCAGGTCCCAGGGAATCTCCATTTTCCTTCCTTCTCAGGACAAGACAGTTCACATGGGAGAGGGCAGGGGCTGCGGCCTTCTCTGGATACAGTGCACTGGAGATATCTGGTACCTGAAGATGACAACAATGAGGGACAGCCATGAGCTCTCAAGCCTCCTCCTCCCCTACCCCTGCACACGCCAGCTTGATGGTGACAGATGAGGACAAAGCTCGCAGCCCATCTCAGCACAGCGATGGCCTTCGGCACCTAGGCAAGGATGGCCTAAGATCTCAAGGCTGCACTACCTCTGCGGGGTGGAACAGGTGACAGGAAAGGCTGGGGACTTCAGTTCTCCCGCCCTAGTGCAGTTCAATGAAGGCTTCCAGCTCCTCGGGGATGAAACCCTTGTAGGGAATCTTGTGCTTGTCCAGGGCGCGAGCAGCAAGGCACTGGAGGGTGATGTAATTGAAGGGCTGCATCATGCTCTTGGTGAGCAGCTTCTCATCCAGCAGCTCATAAGCAGTCTGCTTGAAGGCATTAGTGGCGTCCATATGGGCTCCAGCCTCCATCAGGGCACTCATGATCAGCGGGCAGTTGTTGCGGGCAGCGACATGCAGCGGGGTGTTGTTGTCATAGTCACGGCTATCTGGGTCAGCCCCACATTCCAGAAGCAAGTTCACAACGTGGAGCGATGGGAACTTGCCCACGGGATAACGTCCCACTGTTGTGGTATCTTTGTCCACAGCCATATGCAAAGGAGTGAAGCCATTCTTGGCCCGGGGGCTGCACTTCAGCAGGCGGTAGATAGTCTGGCGCTTCTGGTGTTCCTGCTCTGGGGTGCACTCCACCTTCTCCAGCAAGAAGACCAGGTGGAGGATAATGGCCAGTGTCTTGGTGAACTGCGCTGAGTCAACTACAGGGTCCTTGCCATGCACAAGAGCCCTCTCCACCTCCCGGACCCCTTTGCTCAGTACTCCCATGAGGTCAGAGAAGCCCAAGTGGGTAGCTAAAGTGCCTTTGGAGCGGTCCTGAAGCACGTAAGAGAAAAGCTCGGCAAAGGAAAGGAAACTGCTGGCAGTCATCGGGCTGAGAGGCTCCAGGTTGCCTTGCTGCATGTCCAGAGCATACTTCCAGAGGTTAATGCAGCGTTCGAAGTTGCCGGAGTCAGCATAGACTGCTCCTCGGTAACGGATGTAATAGGAAGTGTCTGGGTGGGAAGGACCCAAGATGCGCTCTCTAATCAGCAGCGCCTGCATGCGCATCTCATCTGGATCAGTAATCAAGGCTTCCAGTTCCTCCAGCGAACTCACTTCCCGGGAATAGTCATAGGCCAATACCAGCTGCCGGGGCTCAGGTTTAGGCAGGTATTGCCCGCCCTCACACCGAAGCTCCATTGCCCTTCGCCAGTACTTGTGGGCTCCCAAAAGGTCACGTTTCTTATCCACAAACGTAGCACCCAGCAACTCCAGTGCTTCCACAGCAGCCTCTCGAGTGCAGAACACATTAGGGACCTGCTGCTCATCCTGACTGGAAGCCGAGGCACAACTTCTCTCACACCCCTCTTCACTGCAGCCCTGAGGAGCTTCCTTGCCAGCGCTGCAGCACCTCTGATGGCTCCCACCTGATGCACAGGTCCCATTTTGGTTCCCTGCAACCTCCTCCTCCTCCTGCTGCAGCCCTCCTTGGATGAGGTACTCCACAATGTTGGTGTGACCGGTGACACTGGCAGCTAGCAGAGGAGTCATGCCGTAGCCGTCTTTCTCCATGCGGGCTTTGGAGCGGAGCAGTAGCTGCAGGATCTCCAGGCTGCCGGACTCAGCGCAGTCATGCAGGGCTGTGTTCCCCTTCACGCTCCGGCGGTTGACATCGGCCCCTTTCTCTAGCAAGTAACGTGCAATCTCCCGGTGCCCTTTGTAGCAAGAAATCATCAAACAAGTGTGTCCATGCCGGTTGGCTACTTCCAGGTCAGCCCCACGCTCCCCGACTAAGTAGCGCACGATCTCCAGGTGCCCATCAAAGCAAGCAGCCCGCAGCGGCGTGGAGTTGGTCAGCGTGGTCTGGTTCACCGAGGCACCGTGATCCAGGAGGCTGCGCACCACCCCGAGGTGCCCGGCGGCAGATGCCGCCCAGAGCGGTGGGGCACCCTCGATGGTCTCCCCATCGAAGTTGACTGAGCCCCCCTCCTCCACGCGGGCACCGCAGTGATCCAGCAGATACTCCACCACCTCCAGGTGCCCGTGCCGGGCGGCGATCAGCAGCGGGGTGCTCCCTCCCCCGGGGCCGTCACCCCCGCCGGGCCCTGCCGTCAGCGCCTCCAGTTCCTCCCGGCTCCGGCTGCCCAGCAGCTTCTGCAGCAGCTTCAGCTTCCCATCGCGGGCCGCGTTGTACACAGCCGTGCGCAGGTCCATGGCGACGGGGCCCGCGGCGACCGCACCGGCCACCTCCTGGCCATGGACCGGCTGCTCCTCCGCGCCCCCAGCTCGGCCCGGGGCAGGGGATGGGCGAGGGTGGCCCCCCCCCGGGGAAGAGGAGCCCCTGCGGGGCCGGAGGCGCCCGGCGAGACACCCCTCACCTCAGCACGGCAACCTTCCGTCCCTTCGCCCGGCCGCCATCTTAGGTTGTAACGCGAAACAAAATGGCGCCCGTAGGGACCCAGGGGCGGGGCGGGAGGAGGTTGATGGGAAACGTAGTCTCGCGCCCGCCCCGGCCCCGCAGGAACCCCTCCCCGGAGACTCGATTTCCCGGCAGGCAGCGGGAAAGGGGGGGGTGGCAGCCGGAGCCCGCCGGCCGTGCCGCCCTCCCGCGCGGGGCCTTCTGGGAAGTGTAGTCCTGCAGTCCCCTGGAGGCGGCCTCTCCCCGGGGATTCCGGGAGAGCAGAGCCTGCCTTTCCCAGCGGGCCCCGCGCCGCCTCGCCGCAAGGGCTGCTGGGACAGGGAACGAGAGGGCGCCTGGCGGCGGCGACGGCACTGAGGGAGGCGAGGGGGGGCTTCAGTGTTCAGGCCCTGTTTCCTGCCCCGCTCGAACCCGGAGCGGCCGTGGCTCCGGCAGGGGAACGGGACGGGAACAGTGACCGGCCCGGACCCGGGGACTGGCTGTCCCCGAGCCGCCGCCGTGGCTCCTGCGGGGGGGAGGACTCGGGCCCGGGGGCGAGGGAGCGGAGCCGGGTGTGAGATGGGGCCCAGGGACGGGAAAGAGACCCTGGTCCTTGTGCCAGGGGCGCCCGGAAAGCCGCGGGGGGTGGTGATGGTGATGGTGGTGGTGGTGGTGGTCGGGGGGGGGTGACCCGGGATCTCCCCTCCTGTTCAAACCAGCGGCGAGCTGGGCTGTAAAAGTTTTTTTTTCTATCACTTCACGGCGTGCGTAAATTTCACGGGAGGTTTTATTTCTGTTAAATTCCTTGAAGCGGTTGAACTTCAAAATACAATAGCTACACAGCATTAGTCTGACGTGGTTTTAATTGTAGCGAATCCCTTGGGTTTGGCAGAGCGTTTTGAGGTGCGGCTTTTCTGCCGTGGACAAGATAGTCTGGAGGTAGCAAAGCCTCATCCGTAATAGCAAATGCAGATTTATTCCCTTTGATCCCTCCCATAGGACAATATGTACAGCTTTCTCCATTCCTGTATGATAATACATGACTGGAGCGAGGGAAAAATACTCAAGGCAATAAATAGCCTAGCTTAGAATAGTGAAGCTTTAGTTACCAGAATCTATTTTTAGGGCATAAGTTGAATTTAAGTGGCTCTAATCTTTATATGGGGAATTGGCATGGAGTTTCTCCTGTTGTATTTTATTTATAGCTGTTTCTTCTCCTTTCCAGGGAAATAAGATTAGCCTTATTATTTCCATTATTATTATTACTCTGCCATTATTACTATTCAGTCCATCCATCCATCCACCCATTTAGGTCTTGTCTGGAATTACCTAGGATTATCCTGCTAATGCATGTTGCCTTCACACAGAATATCATTTTTGTTGCTAAGAAACTGCTTTTGCATAACAGACAGCGTGGGCCTAATTTTCACTTCAGCAGCTGTTCAAGTCAACGGGAGCAGCAGGTGCTCGGCGCTCCTGAGAGCCAGAGCCAAAGTGTCCGTGGCAGAATTCCCACACAAGGTCTGACTGTGCATGCAAGTGTGTCATCTACGTGTGCGATGTGCTTGGGGACGCAGCGGCTTCGCGCTTGAAAAGAACAGGAGCAAAGGCGTCTTGAGCGTCTCCAGCGTGTCTGTGCTGCGCTACTGCAGTTTCCTGCACGCCGGGACAGGAGGACCAGCTGCATGTGCTGGAATATTTGCTAGGTGGGAGTATTCACATGTCCCCTCCGCACACAGATGTGTGAATACACACCTATGGTCACAAGCTAAAAATTGTGTTCCCGTAAGTAAATAGTTGTCAGCAATGAGTTTGGGCACATGTGGTCCATTTTAATATTAACATGTCAGCCTTCGTGTGCGTGTCTGTGCACACCAGCTCACTGTGTGTAAATATCTAACAGCTGAACGCATGAGTGGGTTGTGTGCCTGTACGCGTCTCTGTCCCCACTTGCGAACATCCATGTGTGAAATCCACAGCACTTAGGTTGTTTATGCTGCAGGTCAAGGCACAGACACGGTGACATTTCCTCTCCCTGCTGGCTCTTTCATGTTGCTATGGTGATCAGATGCACTCGCACTTTTATCTGAAGTATCTATTAACTAAAGCTTCCTATTAATTTCCCCTCCATAGAATGCATATGGAATTCACCGGAACACCAGGTAGGCTTTTTAGGTCCCAAATTTACATCAGAGCCTGTCCCCAGTTCTCGGGCGGGCTGTCGGAAACATCACAGGGTAGAAGTGCAGCTGATGAAACTGTTTTTTCCATGAATAAAGAAATTGCTTAGTAATGAGAGAATAAAGAGCACAAGGAGTAGTGTCACAACAGCCTCTCCCTGTAGATCCGTGAATATCAAATGTACTCGAGCCTCAATACCTCGCCCCCGACCCAGCTGCAAATGGATTATTTGGTCTGGGAAGTCAAAGACAGCCGAACATGGGGACAGCCGCGCTGCTCGCCTGGAGTGGGCTGTGTCCTGGTTTCAGCTGGGATAGAGTTAACTGTCTTCCTAGTAGCTGGTACAGTGCTATGTTTTGAGTTCAGTATGTGAAGAATGTTGATAACACTGATGTCTTCAGTTGTTGCTCAGTAGTGTTTAGAGTATAGTCAAGGATTTTTCAGCTTCTCATGCCCAGCCAGGGCACCTGACCCAAACTGGCCAACAGTGTATTCCATACCATGGGACGTCCCATCTAGTTTAGGAACTGGGAAGTGGGGGGCAGGGATTCGCCGCTCGGGGACTGGCTGGGTGTCGGTCGGCGGGTGGTGAGCAATTGCCCTGCACATCATTTGTACATTCCAATCCTTTTATTACTACTGTTGTCATTTTATTAGTGTTATCATTATCATTATTAGTTTCTTCTTTTCTGTTCTATTAAACCGTTCTTATCTCAACCCAGGAGTTTTACTTCTTTTCCTGATTTTCTCCCCCATCCCACTGGATGGGGGGGGAGTGAGTGAGCGGCTGCGTGGTGCTTAGTTGCTGGCTGGGGTTAAACCACAACAGGCTGTAACTGCCATCAGCCCGAAAGGTCTGGGGCAGGATTTTCACCATGTGAGGTGCAGAAAGCAGAGGCACTCTGGTTCATCCTGATCAAATTCCTTTGTCATGTTGGTTCTCCTGTTTCCTTTGACTTCTCTTACTGAGGTCACCACCAAAAGAGTTAGTGTCCCAAACCAGGGCACTAGGGTGATGGAGACATCACCCAAAGGTGGAGACTGTCTCCTGAACCAGGTTGGCATCAGAGGTGCAGCTCCTACTCCCGCTGACGCAACAATCAGGAATTAAAGATCTGATGGTGTGTAACACCCCATTTAAAAGTGTGGCTGAGTGATGCATCGCTGCGATGGGTGACCGTACACAGGGGTGTTTCCCGTGTCCTGCAGAGCTCGAGCTGCTGCTGCTTGTCAGAGAAGCTGCCAGGAAACCTTCCTATGCAAGTGACAGCTACAAGTAACGCAGGGTGGATCTGAACACCTGGGATAGAAACGAAGGGCTCAAAACTATCACGTCCTTCATCTACAGAATATGTCCTCCACAAGGCCCTGGAGACTCCTGTGAAGGTTTTGTAGGGTAGTGCAGATAAAGCCCCAGCCAGTATTCTGAGAATAGAGAGGGAAATTAAATACCCACCAGAGGAAGAGAAGATAAAAAATGAGACGTTTTGACAGGGCTGCCAGATTGTGTGGCAGGAGGGTTAATTTTTTTCGAAACTGCCATTTCATATTCCCTTTCAGACAAGCTGAATTACACAGTACTGGCTGCTGGAGGAGTTGCATAATTTTCTTCACAGAAATAATGACAGGGTACTTAAAAAGCAAGTGAATGGATGGCTAAAGTATTGGGCAGAGACTTAAGAAATCTAGGCTGAGACTTCACCTTTGCTAGAGGCTCCTTTTATGACCTTGGGCTGGTCATTTAATCTTCCTGTGTCTTATTTCCCTGCCAATAACATGGCAATAATAACTGTTCTTTATCTGTCTTGCTTATTTGGACTGCAAACTCAGAATTTACAGGTTGCATTTTCTGTGCTTATAGGGCAACCAAAGCCAAAGAGCTTCAATTCATGCTGAGGTGTCTGGGACAACCATAATATACAAAGTAGATAACAATAAAAGGGCTTGGATATATAGTTTGGAACATTTTTAGCATGAAAGGCTCAAGAGTTCTTAAGCCATTGTTCTATATCTCTTCCCTCAAAATGCAGAGAAGTTCGGCTCTGTGCTAATAGTTCCAAAAGCATGTAAGTAATTTAGGAACTAAGTCCATGCTGATTTACTGAATCCCTGAGTTATTTCTGAAACTGTGAGTGGATAATTTAGATGCCTGCAAAATTTTCTGCAAGGTCTTTGTGCTCAGTCTGTCACCACAATAATGGTTAGCAGCAGACTGAGTCGAGATCCTAATTTTTTCAACATTTAAATTTAGGTTTTCAGGCAGCTGTGTACCAAGTTTTTATCAATCTCTTCAGCTTTTAGGGGTTTGTCTGATTTCCAGAAGTCAGAGGAAGATGGCTTCTTGCTACCAGGTCCAGTGAAGACAAGATCCTCTATATAGTTAAGCAACTACATGAGAAATTTGCCGTACAAAGGGAACAATTCTAAAAATAGCGAGAAATGGCACCATGACATTAGCAGGAACAATGACCCAATACCCAACTTGCTGCAGGGGCTTTTGTCCTATAACTACCTTCATCATTAAGGCTTGTGATGACATTATTTGCTGTGCTTATATAGGGCATGAGGCCACAGCTACCTGGAAGGAAGAATTTTGATCAGACTGCAGAAGATGAACAAGCAGGAGAGGCATGTTGGGTAACACTAAATCAATGTAGTTTCATTTACATTAGACACCAGCCTGGCAATTTCAACATTAATGGTTGCACTGCTGCCCTCTGAATTTTTGTAGATTTAATATATCAGTGGGGGAGTAAAAGAGAGGGAGAGTGTGAGTCGTCCTTACTTATGATACATGGATCTTTTCTTTCATGCATCATCAAAGGACAGCAATTTGTACA